TTATTTTTCATTTTTATTTTTTTTTTTTATTATAAATTCATTCTCTCTTAAAATAGAAAGAGATATATATATATATATATTTATTTATACGTATGACAATATTTAACAACAATATCAAAATTAATCTCGATATAAATATACGAATGCAGATTGCGTCATGAGATATGCTCGACCTTTAATGGCATGCCTTGCTGAAAGTGGAATAAGCGTGTCCATTCAATCAGCAACAAATCCAAATATACCGGTAGCACTTACCATAAGACGACATCGAATTGGTTCTATAGTACTTTTGGATGGATTCAACTTTACTTCCCCGAATAACGTATTACAAATGGTACATATATTGAAACAATAATTACATTTATATTTGATCAGTATTTTTTCAATAATATTATTTATTAATTTCTATAACTAAAATGATTAAAATCTATATGAACATTTTTAATAGATATATTTATATCATCGTTTCATTTTTACTGACATAATTTAAATATGAAACTTTTAATAATTAACTGATTAAATTAAAAAAAAAACCATGATAATTACTTTTTTCCGTAAAATATTTATTATCATTTTTCCGTAAGGATTATGCACGTAAATTTCACACATCTAATTGATTAAAAATATTAATTTAATAAATAGCAAAATATTAAATCAAATCGAAACTATATATTCTATCATAATTTATTGTCAAACTTATTTTATAGGCATCGCAAAAATTATTATTCAACTATTACGTTTCTTGGTTCATGATTACGGCTAGAAACACAGATACCACCATCGATGGTGTTTTGAAGGATCTCAATATAGGTATCGACAGTGATGTCGTAGTTGCAACTTCTTTACATTCACAGGATGTTATGAGGGAATTGACATTGAAGTATCGAAACAGGTTAGAAATTCTAAATTTGCTATGGCCATTAAAAGGAGTCAAGGTTAATTGCTTTGATGTCTTTTTTTACGAGTCAAGCATACATAGATAAATTATTCCCATTGGAATAATTCCTATTATCCCCTTCTTACTCTCCTACCCTTAAACCAATCCTAAACCATTTTTTATTCTGAACTTTTTTTAACATATGATCGTTCAAAAATAATTATTTATAGTATCAAATAATGAATATTTAATAATAATACAAAATGAATCCCTTTTCTCTTATGATAATTGTTTACGAATAAATACAAAATAAAATATAAAGTATTACAATATAAATGTTTTGATTTGAACAGAACCTGTTCGAGTCTTCGACGTTATGGTCAACCAGTCAATTTTCAGAATTTAACAGAACGACAAAATCCCGATAGAATGATGAACCTGGATTACATTACTCGAGAAAATCGAACGATGTGTTATCATTTTTTACACGTTTACAAAATTCGTAACAACGACAATTCAAGTCTCGTTGTTTATTCCCTTGGCTCTTGGTGTCCGGGTATAGTTTTATTAAAAAATCCAATGAGCGTTAAATTGAGAAAGGATTTCAAAGGTTGGCCAATAATATTTGGCGTATTAAATGGTACCAATGATGGTCAAACGGACATTACCAACGAGTTTGAGGTCAATGATATAGCACCTCTTCTTGATTTTGCTAATTCTGTAACTCAAGAGTTAAATGCTAGGTAAACCAAAAAGATAATATATAGAAAATTTAATCTTCTTGCGTAATTTGTTTTTTTTCATTCTACCTTCCACAATCATAATTTGTTTTCATTTTAAATCTAATATATATA